AAAATCCCGCCTGAAATGTACTTGGCGTTGATGCCGGGTTGAGGGACTCCCCTGAAAGACGTTCAATATGGTATATCAGGGTCCATCGATAGGATCCGTCGACTCACTGTATTGATATCACTGCGATATGACTAGAAGAGAGCTGCGTTGCAGATGGAAGTGGTGAGTGGGAGAGACGTGTCGTGCGGTGCAGCACGCTTCTGCCGTGCGGCGCTTACTGTCATGCCACTTATGGCAAGTGTTGTGGTTCGAGCGGTGCGTGCGTTCGCATGTTTCGTCCTCCGCCATCTCTTTCCCCGATGGATTGGAAATAATGAGGTAGCTTCCGACAATAGTCGAAACTCTTCGGCACACATGCCGCCGGAACACAATAGCTCCCCCTCGCCAGAAGCCTCAAGAAGCATCCCACATTCACTGAGTTTACAATAGAACGAGCCAGAGTGGTAATATTGCAAGCCCTTGGCAGGCCCTAACCCACCGCGCACAGTCAAGATCATCACGTCTTCTAGCTCATCGAACAACCTCGAAACGCTACCGGCACACTGCATGCCAGCGGCAGGCACTAGAGCCGCTCCACGTCTCATACCGCCTCTTGTGAGGAGATGTCTGCTGCAGCGAGAGTGGCATTGGGTTCACGGCTTGGCAACGCTGAGTTGCTTCTCCGCAGCGTACTAGGATGCTTGCCACTAAAGCCAGCGAGCCATCATGGAGTTGGATCATGATCGCAATCGATCTGCGTCTTCCAGATTCAGTCAAAGCACATAGTGTCCTATCACAGGCTCAGCTACTTACTCTCTCCGTGGCGGAAGAGCATTCGGGCCGAAGACTTGGAGCTGCCAAAGACCAAGTCTAGAAGCTGGCTGCTGCGCGATGTTGATGTATTTGCAGAACGAAGGGCCTCCCCATATGCATGTCGGTCCTCCCCTTGTCGGTTATCCACTTGTATTCAGCGGAGTACCGCCGTCTCGCCGCTGGATGACCACAGATGCGAGCTCGGAGCCAAGAGCCACCGTCACGGTTGAGCACCATCGACGCCGCGGTCAACGCCGGGTTTGAAGGTTGATCGGAGTCAACGACATGTCAACATGATCTGGGGGAGGCTCCGATTGAGCTGCGTAAGTAGCGCGTACTGAGGTGCCTTTTCGGACTTTGAACCGTTTGTATTGGGCGCTCTGGAGCTGTTACCAAGATACTTATTCTGGACCGGAACAGGAGATGATTGCTGACGATATTACGGGCCTATTCTGGGGGACGGTACTGGCCATTGCCCGCCGTGGGTGCGGCGCACACTGCAGATGGTAGTGGGGAGTGGGAGGGAATGGGAGAGACGTAGGAGTCGGACGTGACCTGACTCGTATTGCGCGCTACGATATCCTTATAAGGCGCTTTTGATGGGGCCGCTGCCAAATAGGAGCAAATCAAACCGGACTGCAGGAGTGTAATATGGGAAGAGAGGTACTTACGACGCGCCTGACTCCAGCTGCAATCCGCTTGCTTCATTTGATCACATGAAGACTGTCTTGCACTTCTCCGGTCGCCCCTCAAATGGGCTCGAACTGATTTGTCGACACGAGTCCGAGGCAGAAAGGGGTGTCTCAGGGGCTTGTTAGACTCTCTTCTTGAACTCTCACTATCTGGACGGCAACCGCTATCGCCAGCGATGGACAGAATCACCCGAACCGAAACACTGCAAGTTCTCAGGTCTATGAGAGTGGAGATACCTGAGGACACGAAACTCTCGGACGAGAACCTGGAGAAACGCCTTCGCGACGCCCTGAACGCCGCCCAGCAGAAGGAGCGCCTCTCTTCTCCGCTCGACTTCGACACGCTCGCGCCATGGCCTGTCCCGCGCGAAGGAGTGGCCGACTCGAACGCAAAATCTGTGCTCGCGGCCGTCACTAGGGGTAATCTGGCGGAGGCGGCCTTGAACCATGCGCGGAACAGTCGGACACCGGAGCTGTACATCGACCCGTTCATCGACCTGCGCCAGACCGTCATGTCGATCGCGAACTTGATTGACCAGGGCATAAAGTGGTGCATCGTTCAGGACAACCAGCGGGAGCAGTGGGTGATCAATCTCCGAGTGCGTCTTCTTGTTCCCCCTCACAACTCCCCTACATTGTGGCATTCTAGTTCGCATCTATCCTCGAAGTCGACAAGCGAACGCCCGCCATCGTCGTTCTCTACCGTGCGTTCGAACGCTCGACCGCCGTGGAGGGCATGCGATGGGTCCATGCGCAGTCAGAGACGAACTCTGCGCCGTCTCGCCGCGGCGTGTTGCTCGACATCAAGGCGACACCGCTCGAGCAGAAGCTGTTGATGATGCTCCTCAAGATGAACCGTCGCCTGGTCCCCACCAACTTCAAGGTCGACCGGCACGCGACCGAGACCGCCTACGAAGTCTCCGTGCTCCTCCCTCTCGGCCCGCTTGACTTGGCCGCCATGACGAAGCTGAGCCACAACCTGGGCTGTGCCGTCTGTGGCGAACGGGCGACGAGTCGGTGCGCCCAGTGCCAGTCGGTCTCGTACTGCGGCGCAGGTGCGTATGCCGCGACGCGGATCCTGTTGACTACTGACACGCCACGCAGCCTGTCAGCGCGCGAACTGGCCGCAACACAAGCTGGACTGCCGACAGCTCAAGGGTGGTCGCTGGCATACGCTGCCCGTGCACAACGGCCTGCAAGGCATGGACAACATCTACATGACGACTGTGAACAGGTTTCACAACGACTTCGATGCCGCCAGCCGAGTGCGCAAGATCGACCCCAATGCCGTGCCGCCGAACGTCTGGGGCGACAGGGTGTTCATTGTCAAGCTCCAGGTTGGCGTGGTCCCGGGCCAATATCCCTATATGATGATTTATGACCGCAAACGCTCCTTCGAGGTCTTCCTGCGCAGCGAAGAGGACGTGGAACTGTTCTCGACCTTCGTGGGGGAGATGAGGGGCGAGCGCGGTGGACATGGAGGCATCAAGATGTACCGATGGGCAAGGCGGACGGGCGACTGGGAGTTGAGCGTATGTCTCGACCGAGTGCCGCCGCAGACGGACACGAACTGGTGAGTTCGTGCATCGTGTGAGGAGTCTTGTTGACGTTGCTTTGCTTTTGTCTTTTGTGCGTCCTGTCGGAACTGTACTATATGTAATGTTCTTTTGAATATGATGGGATTGCGACCTGTAGCTGGACCAGAGCTGGATGGTGTACGTTGTAAGTAGGTTGTCTGAGACAATGTAGCGCTCGTCCGGACTCCCTTTGTTTCCTCCCGCTACAAGCTCGCTACGGTCTTAATCGCGGCCACATGTATGCCGCATGGCTGATCTTTGTGAGAGCTTGGAAGAGCCTTTCGGGCTATAAAAGCTGGCTTAATATCATCTGGCTCGCTGGAAAGCCTCTGTTCTCCTCTTGTCATCTGCGCGCACGCCACTAGTCATGAACACTCCGGGCCTGATGCGATCCGGAACAATTTCCGTGCTCAAATCTATGGGCTTGGAACTGCCCGCGGACACCAAACTCTCTGACGAGAACCTCGACAAACGCCTCCGCGACGCGTTGAACGCGGCCCAGCAGAAGGATGGCCTGCCTGCCTCACTTGATCTCCAGTCGCTAACTCCATGGCCCACGTCGAAGTCCGCGCACTCAAAAGCGAAGACGAGACCTCTTCTGGACGCGGTGCAGAGAGGCAACATAGGCGAGGCAGCCCACAACTATGCGCGGAAGAGCAGGGTGCCCGAGCTCTACGTCGATTCTTTCATGGACCTGCGCCAGACGATCATGGGCTTCGCGCACTTCATTGACCAGGGAGTGATGAGGTGCGTCATCCAAGACCAGGAGAAGGAGAACTACGCGATCAACGTCCGGGTGCGTCGTGATATTGTTCCTTTTGTCTTGCACTTTTGACCGATCCTCCCACTCTCCCAGGTCATCTCCGTGCTCGAGGTGGACGAGAAGACCCCCGCTATCGTCGTGCTCTATCGCTCGTTCGACAAGTCGACTGCCATGGAAGGCGCAGAGTGGGTATGCCTGCAAACTGAACCAGACTCGTCCCCCGTCCCGAGTGGTTCGATAATCAACATTACCGCGACGCCACTCGAGCAGAAGCTGCTGTTGAAGCTCCTCAAGCTGAACCAGCATTTCATCCCCGAGGACTTTGACGTCAAGAGGCACCCGACTGAGGCCGGTTTCCGCCTGTCGGTCTTGTTCCCGATTGGCCCGCTTGACTTTGCGGCGCGTACAAAGCTCAGCCATAACATGGGTTGCGGCGTCTGTGGTCGGAGGGCGACGAGTCGCTGCGGGCAATGCCAGTCCATCTCATACTGCAGTGCCGGTTCGTCACAACCTTCATCATCTACACGCACTTCTGATCTCACGCGCACCTCTCGTGCAGAATGCCAACGCGCGGACTGGTCCACGCACAAGACAACGTGCCGGCAGCTGAAAGGCGGCCGCTGGTGCCCCGTCCGCATCCGCGCAGGCCTCCCCGGACTCACCGAGAACGCCCATATGATGTTGCTGAACCGCTACACGCGCGTCGCCGCCGACGCAGCAGTGCCCGTGCACAAGATTGACCCGAACGACCCTCCGCCGAATGTCTGGGGCGAGCGGGCCTTCATTATCAAGCTCCAGCTCAACCTGGTCTCCGACCGCCCGGGCGAGCCGCCGCATATGATGGTGTACGACCGCAAACGGTCGTTCCAGGTCTTTGTGCTGAGCGAGGACGACCCGGACGTGTTCCTTGCTCTGCTGGAAGAGATAGCTGGCCCGCGCGGAGGGTACCGGGGCGCGAAGATGTATCGGTGGGCGAGGCGGACGGGAGATTGGGGATTGAGTATATGTCTCGACCGAGTTCCTGCGGCGGCGGACACGAATTGGTGAGGTCGGAGTCGGTCGTCGCACAATGTGTACATAGTATATGGTTCATAGTACATACATACACCCCGACTCGTGGGTTGCAGATTGGTACATACCACAAAATAGCAGAAAACAATGAGCAAGATATTGTCAAGGCGCTACCAGGGATCGAACCTGGGTCTTGGGAAGGTGTTGTTCAAGCTAATCAGAATCCCAAGTGATAACCACTACACTATAGCGCCGCTGGGTAATTCTGTGCTAGCGTGCTATAGCATGTACTGTCTGAGTAAGTCCATTTGCTGCATTTGATCGACGTGGTGATTAGGGTGGCGGGAGAAACTGACTAGTTATTCGCAAATGTTACTAACTCATGTTATTAACATAGTTACTAACGTGTTATTAACCCAGGGGGTAAAC